CTCAACTTACAACAACTTATAACACAACCCACTAGTCACACGAACATCGTCTTCCATTATAGACCACATTTACACCAATCATCCACAGAATATATAAGCTACACAGCTGTTCCAGTAAGTTCTATAAGTGACCACTACCCTTCTGTTTTACAAGAAAAACTTATGCAAAATAAAAAAAAAAAGGCCATTACATATAACTATAAATTACAGATATTTAAAGAAATTCAATGCAGATAACTTTTTAGTTGACTTATCAAATCAACCATGGTCATTAATTGATGTGTTTACAGAACCTGATGATGCCCTTGACACTTTCTATGATTTATTTCTAAAAGTTTTAGATTTACAAACAAGAAACATGGCAATGCCATGAAACCAGGTTTTCAATTATCACCATTATAGATAAATATGTTGTATTTGAAATACAAATACAAGCAACAAACAATGTAACTATGTGCAATGTAAAACATGAATAATGTAGGAGGAATTGCCACAGAAGAAGTGTTCACTATACATGTATATTCTGTATAAGGAAAAAAACAAAGGGCCATAATTAGATAAAAAATTATCCAATCGCAAAACCCCGACAATATGCGCCAGGGCACTTGATGACAAAGCTTCTGTGAAAGTTTGAACAAAATCTGTTGAGAAATGTAGGACGAATTCAGCACAGAAGAATTTGTTCACTATATATTGATAATTCTGTATAAGGAAAAAAAACAAAGGGCCATAATTAGGTAAAATATTATCCAATCACAAAACCCCTACAATATGCGCCAGGGCACTTGATAACAAAGCTTCTGTAAAAGTTTGGTCAAAATACGTTGAGAAATGGAGGAGAAGTGGAGCACGGTAGAAATTGTTCACTATATATTCTGTATAAGGAAAAAAAACAAAGGGCCATAATTAGGTCAAATATTATCCAATCACAAAACCCCGACAATATGTGCCAGGGCACTTGATAACAAAGCTTCTGAGAAAGTTTGGTCAAAATCCGTTGAGAAATGTAGGAGGAGTTCAGCACAGAAGAAATTGTTCACTATATATTCTATATAAGGAAAAAACAAGAGGGCCATAATGGCCCTGAGGTCGCTCACCTGTATATAGGCCCCCCACCCCCGGGCCAATTTTTACCCAAGGGCTTTTATTTGTTTATTTGAACAGACTTGGTAGACACCCATAAGAAGATGTTTCATGCTAAACATCTAAGTTCTAGCTCATTGGCTTTTTTAAAAGAAGATTTTTAAAGTTTTTACTATACACATATAGTTAAAAACAATGACACCCCTGGGGCAGGGCCAGTTTTGACCCCCGTGCGTTTATTTTAATAAACTTTGTAGATATTTACTTTAAGATGTTTCATGCTTAATATCTAAACTCTAGCTATTTGGGTTTTTCCAAAGAATATTTTTAAGTTTTTGCTATACACATATAAGGAAAATCAATGACCCCCCCCGGTTGGGGCCAGTTTTGACCCCAGGGCTTTTATTTGAACATACTTGGTAGACACCCATTAGAACATGTTTCATGCTAAATATCTTAGCTCTAGCTCTTTGGGTTCTTTAAAAGAGGATTTTTTAAAGTTTTTACTATATGCATATAGGGAAAATCAAAGAACCCCTGGTGCGGGGCCAATTTTGACCCCAGGGCTTTTATTTGAACAAACTTGGTAGACACTCATTTGAAGATGTTTCATGCCTAATATCTTAGCTCTAGCTCTTACGGTTCTTTAAAAGAAGATTTTTTAAGTTTTTACTATATGCATATAGGGAAAATCTATGACCCCCTGGGGTGGGGTCAATTTTGACCCCAGGGCTTTTATTTGAACAAACTTGGTAGACATTTACTAGAAGATGTTTCATGCCAAATATCTAAGCTCTAGCTCTTATGGTTCTTAAAAAGAAGATTTTTTAAGTTTTTACTTTATGCATATAGGGAAAATCAATGACCCCTGGGGCGGGGCCAATTTTGACCCCAGGGCTTTTATTTGAACAAACTTGATAGACATGCACTAGAAGATGTTTCATGCCAAATATCTTAGCTCTAGCTCTTAATTTAATTTGAACAAACTTGGTAGACACTCACTAGAAGATGTTTCATGCTAAATATCTTAGCTCTAGCTCTTTGGGTTCTTTAAAAGAAGATTTTTTTAAGTTTTTACTCTATGCATATAGGGAAAATCAAAGACCCCCTGGGGCGGGGCCAATTTTGACCCCAGGGCTTTTATTTGAACAAACTTGGTAGACACCCATTAGAAGATGTTTCATGCTAAATATCTTAAGCTCTAGCTCTTTGGGTTCTTTAAAAGAAATTTTTTTAAGTTTCTACTATATGCATATAGGGAAAATCAATGGACCCCCTGGGGCGGGGCCAATTTTTGACCCCCAGGGCTTTTTATTTGAACAAACTTGGTAGACACTGATAAGAAGATGTTTCATGCTTAATATCTTAGCTCTAGCTTCTTTGGGTTCTTTAAGATGAAAATTTTTTAAGTTTTTACTATATGCATTATAGGGAAAATCAATGACCCCCTGGGGTGGGGCCAATTTTGACCCCAGGGCTTTTATTTGAACAAACTTGGTAGACATCCATTAGAAAACATGTTTCATGCCAAATATCTAAGCTCTAGCTCTTTATGGTTTTTTTAGAAGAAGATTTTTTAAGTTTTTACTATATGCAATATAGGGAAAATTAATGACCCCCTGGGTCGGGGCCAATTTTGACCCAGGGCTTTGATTTTGAACAATCTTGGTAGACACTTCATTAGAAGATGTTTCATGCTTAAATATCTTAGGTCTAGCTCGTTGGGTTCTTTTAAAAGAAGATTTTTTTAAGTTTTTTACTATATGCATATAGGGAAAATCAATGACCCCACCTGGGGCGGGGCCAATTTTGAACCCCAGGGCTTTCATTTTAAACAATCTTGGTAGACACTCACTAGAAAGATGTTGTTCATAATGCCAAATATCTTTAGCTCTAGCTTTTCTTTGGGTTTTTTAGAAGAAGATGTTTTTTAAAGTTTTTTTCTTTTGGTTGCCATGGCAACCAGAGTTCTGCATGGAATGGAATTCTTTGAACAACTTTGTTAAGGCTTCACACAAGGAACATCCCTGTGAAGTTTTCATTATGATTCTGCCTTATGGTTTCAGAGGAGATGTTGTTTGAAAAGTGTGAACGGACAACGTACGACGGACGACAGACAAGGGACGAAGAGTGATCCTAATAGCTCACCCTGAGCATATGCTCAGGTGAGCTAAAAAACAAAAAATAGCTCTTAATTTGAATTTTATGAGATTTTGTTCTTTATTTAACTACGAAATGAAGCTCATAAATATAAAATGTTTGCTCGGACAGACGGACAGACGGATGGAGCCTATTACTATATCCCCCTTTTTTCCCTTTTTTCTTCGAAAAGGCGGGGGACAACAAGGGGGACGACCATTGGCATCAAAGTGACTTCACCTGTAGACATCCTGTTATTTGTGTAAGGGTCAATTGTAACAATAGGGGCAAACTTTGAACAACCATGATAGAGGACCTATAGATGATATTATATAACAAATATCTGAGCTCTAAGCATTGTACCTTCAGACAAAAAGTTTTTTTTAGTTTTTTTAGTATATGTATAAGGAAAACCTTTTGACCTTCGGCGGTTTGCCAATTTTTGACCCCAGGGCTATAATTTGAACAAACTTGGTAGATATCCACTACACAATGTTTTATGCCAAAATATCTTCCTCTAGCTTTTGTTAATTTCAGAGATGACTTTTTAAGTTTTTTACTATATACATACCCTAAAAATCTTGATTTAACGCCCCCCTGCCCCCAAATAACGCCCCCACCCTCATTTGACAACCTTGTGTATAATTTAAAACAAAGAAAATAACAGAAAATAAAGAAAAGTCTCTTACTAGTTTAGGCGATTTACAGTATATCCCAATATCATTCCATTTATTGAAAAATATCCGTGAATCAAAACTTAAAACACTTTTAAAGTTCAGAGTGAAGTCTACTTGAAAACAGTAACTGTTTAAAAAAAAAAAAAACATTATTTTTACAGTACACACACTACAGATAGAGCTTTCCTTTATAGGCAACTACACAGATGTGGAGAGGGGCCTGTGACACATGGTAAATTAGGAAAGTAACATTGACGACGTCAGATTGTCGGCGAGAACAAAGGTGTCAACTGCAAGCAGGATATCAGGGAATTCTTGGGAGGAAAATTAGAGAGAGCTGGCGGTGTAGATCAAAGGTGTCATGGGTTGACATGATGTGTTTAAACAGGACTTGCTAGATTTTTTAAAAATCATTTGAAGAGAGAATTTTTCTTCTTTTTTTTAAAATCTTTTTTTTTTCAACGCCCCCCTTTTGAAAAATGTTACGCCCTCCCCCGGGGCGTTAAAGTAGGCTTTTAGGAGATAAGGAAAATCAATGACCCCTTGGGGCAAGGCCGATTTTGACTCCAGGGCTATAATTTGAACATTTTATTTTTAAGTTTTATTACATGATGTTAAACACAAAATATCTAAGCTTTAGATCTTGCACAATCACAGAAGATTTTTAAAGATTTCATTTTAAAAATCTCTTTTTAGCCCTCCTGAACATCTTATGAAAAATTTCATCAAATTTGGTCCAGTGGTTTCTGAGAAGTCGTTTGCATAAAAAATTAACGACAGATGCACTGACGGACGATGGACCACAGACAAATTGTGATCACAAAAGATTACCTTGAGCACTTTGGCATAATTATGTCAAAAACCAAACTATGCATGAAACTGGAACATAGACAGTTGCATTGTGATATTGCATAAGATATTCCAAACCAAGTTAATATTTCTACTGATTCCTGAGATTGGTATGGATGAGATGGGACAGCAATGGCAACAGGAACTATGACCTGACTGAATTTTTCCTGGATCAAGAGTCGACATCATTGAAATTGTGCCATGAGATTTTCAAAATCATATAATTGTTGATGGGTCCAAAGTTTTTTTTACCTGCATTCCAGTCAAACAACTATGTGGCTTTCATCAACAACACCAGAATTCTCATTTTGCATTCATCAAGTCTTATTCTTTTTTGGTCTTGACCAGTGAACACATATCATCAACATCTTCTTACTAACTCATCTTGTTCCAGGTTTTCTCTTTCACTGCTGAAAATTTATATATTTTTGATATTGTTATATACTTATACACAGCATGAAGTGACACTTAATTTATCAATGTAACAAAATCTCCACTCAGGGCATTGGGAACATGCTACAGTATCATTCTTTGTGGTTACAGTATAGAATTTTCAAGATGAAAATGTTACAGTACAGAATTTTCAAGAGTGTCTGTTTTTGATGTCATTTAAGAGTGGCATCCCTTACATTATTAATGTTGATGTCATTACCATGTTAATAATTCAATAATCCTCCTAATTATATTATGAAACTAGTTGAGGTAAAATCATATCAGTTACATTTTAGTAAATTTTTCTTGTTCTGACACTTTCATTCATGTACAGGTCAAAAATTGTCTTTAGGCAGCATACTATCCTTATGTGCTTGTGTGTCTATTAAATTTAATTAAATCATAGAGTAATCAATCATTATCATCATCATCAGTTTTTTGAAACATTTACAAACAATATTGCGATTAATAGTTTAAACCATGTACACTCCTTCAAACATGAAGCTTTACATGAATGATAAATAAATGCACTCATGATTAATAATGTCAAATAATTGACACTAAAGTGATATTTCCTTCTTCCCTGTAATTTTACATCTGAATAAAGGTTGTTTCCCCTAGCCCAAAATAGGTATATTTTCCCCCCTAAAATGCCCCTGCACTCATTCTCCACCAAAAGCATGGACTTATATCAACTAGTTGATAAAGAACTTGACTCTGAAAGATAGAGAGTTCTTCCCTCAAGAGAGCCTTTGCTATGAACCATGCATGTTAACCTGAAATTGAAATTGAAAAACATATTATAAAATGTGTGGGTAAAAGAATCCATTCTCAATTGTTGGACATTGATTTCAGGTTTTCCCCCATTTCTGATTTATCATGCCTATATTTTTCCCCTTCAGAAAGCCTCAGGTTGTTTTGTAAATTTAAACAAACATTGCAATTAATTTTGTGAAAAAATGCTATGCAACCCAAATTAATGCAACACTAAATAGTTTAGGAACAGAAGATTTTTGGCGACCAGATGGTTATGTCATCTTCAACATGGGTTTTTTTTTTTTTTTTTTTTATTTCAGGTTCTACAACAGTGGGCTCCATCCGAATAACATCTTAACAAAATAGTACAAGGTTTAATCATATAAAGACACACACATAATGTCAGAATATGTTGAAAGCATTTATATTTCTTCAGTTTAATTGCTAAGACTGTTAGTTATTCTGACTGATAAAATAAACAAATGAATATTCATATATACTGAGAAAAACATTCGTAATTATTGAGTACTTGTCCTAAACTTTTTCCTATCCAAAGTAAACGTAACAAACATTGCACTGTTTTCTTTCTGAATGAAAAGCTGTAAGCAAAAAAAGTAGAATGACAAATTATATATAATTTATATTTTTTAATAGCGCAAAAAATTGCAGTATTACGTTAGGAAATAATTTTTATGTGGAAAATATGTACTAAAATATCTTTTTGTGGCGACTAAAAATAAGTTTTCAAAATAACAAATTCCCTCCGCATAGAAGGCAACTAATTTAATAAATGAGATAGTAGTTATAGTAAACTTCTTGACCTTAGTTTATTGATGATAGGACCAAGTATCTCCCCTGCAGTATTTTCATTTAAAATGTGTTTAGATATTTGATATATGATTCAATTTCCTTCATTGCAAACAAGATTGCATTTGTGAATCAAAGCACTGAATGTACTGATGGGGAGGCTATGACAGAAATGTTTCAGACTTATAGTTCTTTTCTTTTGCTTAAATGTGCTGTTAAATAAGAAGATATGCACATTGCCGCTCATTATCATTCAACCATTCATAAACTTATGGTTAATATGGTTGACTATTCTTTGTTGTTAATATTCCAGAACATTTCATTGAGGTCTACATTCGGACTGTTAATCATGCAAATTTGAAAAAAACCTAAAAACCATTTATAAATGACAGTACCAGCAGGTATGACGACTGTTCATTATAAGATCATAATACCATTTAAACTGAC